ACAAGAACTTTGAGTCTTTAAAGAAAGAAATTAGACACCAGAAAATGGAAAGATCCCATGATCTTGGATAGGTAGGATCAACAGAGAAAATTGGCAATCTTGCCAAAAGCTATCTACAAATTCAGAGCAATCCCCATAAAAATCCCAGCACAATTCTTCACAGATCTTGAAAGAACAATTCTCAACTTTATATGGAAAAACAAAAGACCCAGGATAGTCAAAACAACCCTGTACAATAAGGAACATCCAGAGGTATCAACATGCCTGACTTCAAACTCTATTACAGAGCTATAGTACTAAAAAAAAAAAAGCTTGTTATTGGCACAAAAATAGACAGGTAAACTAATGGAAACGAACTGAATACCCTGATATTAACACATACACGTATGAACACCTGTTCTTTGACAATGAAGCTAAAATTATACAATGAAAAAAAGAAAGTGTCTTCAACAAATGATGCTGCCATAACTGGAGGCTGGCATGTAGAAGAGATTACAGATAGATCCATGTCTATTGCCATGCACAAAACTTAAGTTCAAATGGATCAAAGACCTCAACTTAAATCCAGCTACATTGAACCTCTTAGAAGAGAAAGTAGGAGGCACGCTTGAAAGAATTGGTACAGGAGACCGCTTCCTGAACAGAACTCCACTAGCACAGACCTTAAGATTGACAATTAATAAATGGGACCTCCTGAAACTGAGGAGCTTCTGTAGGGCAAAGGACACAGTAAACAAGACAAAAAGGGAACCCACAGAATGGGAAAAGATATTTACTATCCCCACATCTGACAGAGGGCTGATCTCCAAAATTTACAAAGAACTCAAGAAGCAAGTCTCCAAAAACACCAAAGGATCCAATTAAAAAGTAGGGTACAGAAATAAATGGAGAATTCTCAATAGGAGTATAAAATGGCTGAGAGACACTTAAGAAAGTGCTCAACTTCCCTAGCCATCAGGGAAATGCAAATCAAAACAACTTTGAGATACCATCTTACTCCTGTCAGAAGGGCTAAAATCAAAAACACCAATGACAGTTTATGCTGGAGAGGATGTGGATACAGGAGAACACTCTTCCATTGCTGGTAGGAGTGCCAACTCGTACAGCTACTTTGGAAATCAGTATGGAGATTCCACCGAAAAATGGGAATCAGTTTACCAGAAGACCCAGCAATTCCACTCTTAGGCATATAACCAAAAGGTGCGCATTCATACAACAAGGACATCTGTTCCACTATATTCATATCAGCATTATTTGTAATGGCCAGAACCTGGAAGCAACCTAGATGCCCCTCAACTGAAAAGTGGATAGAGAAAATGTGGTACATTTACACAAGAGTATTACTCAGCAGAAAAAAACAATGGAATCTTGAAATTTGCAGGCAAATGGATGGCACTAGAAGATACCATCCTGAGTGAGATAACACAGTCACAAAACGACAAACATAGTATGCTCTCACTCATATATGGATTTTAGTCATGGATCAGGAGAGTGCCAGCCGATAATCCCACTGCCAGAGTCTGGGAAACAGAACCTTCACCTAGTGACTAATGGAAGCAGAGGCAGATAACCACAGCTAAACACTGAATGGAACTCCTGTAATCCAGTCACAGAGAGGGAGGTTTGATAATCAAAAGGGTCAAGACTGGGCTGCTGAAACCCACATAAACAGCTGACCTGAACAAGGGGGAGGCTCTTGGACCCCAGACTGATAGCTGGGAGGCCAGTATGGGATTGATCCAGACCCCGTGAATGTGGGTGTCAGTGAGGAGGCCTAGGCAATCTATGGGGCATTGGGTAGTAGATTAGTATTTATCCCTGACATACAAATAGACTTAGGGTACCCATCCCACAACGAGAGATGCTCTCTCAGCCAAGATTCTTGGGGGAAGGCCTAGGCCCTGCCCTGAATGAAATGACAGACTCTGGATATCCCCCATGGAGGATCTCACCCTCCCTGGGTATTGGAGTTGGGATTGGGTGGGGACTGGGGCGCCTTTTGGGGGGACAAGGGACAGGGGAGGAGGGGAGGGAGAGGGAGCTATGATTGACATGTGAAGCAATCTTGTTTCTAATTTAAATGAAAAAGTAAGACAACTGATCCCCAAATGTGTGTGTCTATTTCATTTTGTTTTCATGTCATTGCTAAATGAAAGCCATTAGATGAATGCTAAGGTACAAGTAACGAGTCTCCTTCCAACGCTGAAACACTGGTTTTGCCTTAGGCTCAATGATGAGGAAGGAGAGCACTCTGTTGAGAATCACTCCATTGCTGAGATCCCTACCTAGAGCACTGATGGCGGTCATCGGCTTATGGCCTTGGGGCTCTCATCCTGCTTTTCACTGGAATACACAAAACAAAGTTTCATAGAAAACTAAAATTCTCTGAGTATTCTTAAGGGTTGTCTTAGGTCTTTGGAAGTTTTTATCATTACTTTTTTTAGCTCTGTTGATGGAAAATACAATTCTATCCCAGAGGGGGAATGGGCCAGGGGCATATTTTTAATCACCCAAGAAGCATACCCTGTTTTGTAAGGTATTTGAGTTCCCAAATGTTTCTGTAACAACATTTAAATTCTCCTGAAAAGTAATAAAATAGCACATTGCTTGATGTTCCCGTTATTCAGATCTCGTGGTTTCAATGCATTCCAAATATTGTAGTAACTCATACAGACAGGCTTAGGGTATTTGCTCATTTTAAGTTGTTTTTGTTCATTTTTCTCTTCTGAGACTTCTACTCTTGCTTTTATCACATTTCCATTATATTTAGTTGGCCCCAACCATTGAAAGTATGTAATGTCATCATAACCAGATATATGTATGAAAAGTTAAACCTCCATAATTTTGCATTTATAAACAAAGAACTGAGCATCCTACTTGCTATGTGCCCGGGTTCCATGGCATTCTGCCCTTCTATTTTTCACTAGTTGTTTTGTCCTTTCTTTCCATTTTACTGGGTCCAATATAAAAACATACAAGCCAGCCAATTGACGTCTTAAGTTCAAGTTAGACACAAAGCCAGCACTGAAGTAGATTTGGGGACCTGGAGCACTACACTGTGGTGTCTTTCTAAAGTGTGCAGCACTCAGCATGGAATGTTATGATTGGATGCTTTACAGGTTTCTAAATTAAAAAAGTAACACAGTTTTCATTCCAATCTTGTTTATGTAACGTTTCTGGAGGTTGGAGACTTCACGATGTTTCTCGTCCTTACCTTTCTCCCCTTTTCCCGAGTTTCTCTTCACATGGGAGTCCAGAAGTGACAACTTGCTATTATCTCCAACTACACAGTAACAAGTCCAAGAGTCAAATATGGGCCTGATAGAGACCATGAGGAAAATATTCCTGAATCTCTGCCTGTGCTACATGTGGGAAAGCAGGGAAACACGTGCTCATTTTAGTTACAGTCAGGAATCCACAATGGTGAAGGGCAAAAGTGACATGTCACTTAATGGTACAAAAACTATGATTCTCTCTTCTATTTGAGTCTAAGTTAGAAAATTTCACATTTCTAAGGGAAAATGTTTGTAAACACTCATGACAAACTCCGTTAGTTGTATCTCCAACATACTACCTTTTTATTTTAATCAAGTTCTTGGCTCTTCGCATGCTAGGGGCATGGTTTACCACTAAGCTATACCTCAAGATTCTATATACTCAACGTTTAAAATATATCATATAACATCCATAAGAATTAATGAGATCAGAGGTCTTTGTGTTCCTATCATTACATCTTCATTAGTTATTTTAATGTAATAGATAAGATTTAAAGAAAACTCAAATGATATTTAAGTAATTTAACTAATATCATGAACAAACTGTTACAGCAACCTGCCTTCAAAGATCATAATCCTGGATTCTGTAAATTTAACCTTATCTTTAAGATATAAGTCACTGGTGTGATCCGATTAAGGATGTAGTGACAAACATTTTTATTAGATTTTCTAGGTAGACCCTAAATACCGCCCATGTGTCTCAGGAAAGGGAGGGCAGAGAAGGATTGGATACACAGAACAGGAATCTTAACTCAAGGAATGCCAGCAGCCTCTAGAAGCCAGGAGAGGGATGAACTACCTTAGGGAACACGGGAGGTCAGGAGAGAGATGAACCACCTCACGGAACATGGAAAGTACAGTTTTTATAATACTTTGATTTTGACTCAGCATGAGTTTTAATCATCTGTCACACTGGGAGTGTGAGATAGTAAATCCTCCCAGCTGCCTGGGGAAACTAATACAAGCGCAGCTGTTGCCATTTCAGAATACCACAGTGAAATTTCAAATTAACAAATTTGCGAGAGGCAGGGTCTGGAGAAAAATGAAGGATTCCACTTGAGTATGTTGAGAAGCATGGGAAGTAGTTTTGAAAGATTTCTATGTAGAAAAATGTTTAAAGTGTGAAAATGTCTAGTCCAAAGGGCAAGTTTGAAGTACCATAGATCCAAGAAATAGTTTGCCAGGAATTGTCCATGGTATTATGTATAAGAAAGAGAAATGCTTAATTCCTTCACTAAGGCTTAACACCAGGACTTGTCATAATCAGATAAAAATCCAGAAATAATCAAACTATCAAATAAAGAAGAGGAAAATAAACCATGTGTTTCTTTAGCTTTGTCTTGAATGTCTAGTGAAAATTTCCAAAAACTTTAACCAAAAAAGTAGTGCTTTGTAACAGCATCATATAAGAAACTTATATTTTAATGTCTTTAATTCCCATTTAAAATGAAAAGGCAAAGATAAACACATGAACCATTATCGCTGGCATTTTCTTGCAATTCTTTTGAGAAGTTTTCTAGATTTACCAGAGACTTTGGGTAGGAGTGAGAGAATGCTAAAAAAGTTTTCTCAGTGTCTGGAAAACATAAGAACAACATCTTATGTAGTTGGTTGGTTTTGCTTTTTTGGCTTTTTTGGGGGGGCACCACCCAGCTCCCAATAAATCACAAGCGGAGGCTTATTCTTAGTTATGAATGCCCGTCCCCAGCTTGACTTGTTTCTTACCAGCTCTTCTTAACTTAAATTATTCCATCTATCTTCTGCTTCAGGCCTTTTATCTTTCTCATTTCCGGATACATTTTCTTTCCTTTTTTCTTCATGTCTAGCTGGGTGTCTGGATGGCTGAGCGCTGAAGTCCTCCTCCTTCCTCTCTGGTTCCCAGATCCTAAATTTATCCTCTCTGCCTGCCTGCCCCACCTACTCCTCTCTCCTGCCAGCGCTTTATTAGACCATCAGGTGTTTTAGACAGGCACAGTAACACAGCTGCACAGTGTTAAACAAATGCAGCATAAACAAAAGTAACACACCTGAAAGTAATATTCCCCAACAATCTTACTGTCCAGAACTTCCAGTTGTCTTTAAATGTACCACATTATCTACAGTGACTTTAAATGTCAATGGACCACACAGAAACAGATATTAGTATCATCAATTTACAGCTGGAAGCACCCAAAAGACTTAGAGAAGCATAGGGACCTAATTCAAGATAAATGATTCCACTCTGGAACCTCAATGGTGATGACGTAACCACAGAGCCCAAAGGAACCATGGACCACAGGTGCTGCTTCCTATCTCTGAGATTTAGAGAGCAATGGTAAGGGCTGAAACCCACTATAACTGGCTAGTATTTAAGTCTGCACAGCCCATTGTGTTAAATGCCTCAGGTTTCCCTTTAATACTTCAAGATTCATGACTAGACCAAGGTACTGAATAAATTAGGCATTCATAAATACAGCCTATGGTGGTGGTATATTGCTTATGATTTAATAAAGCTTGCCATGAAGATCAGAGAAGCAAAACAGCAAGTCAGTAGCTGTTACCTCTACCTAGGCTGAAATGGAGATCCTGTCTTTCCTGTGACTGTAAACTGAATCTCTCTTGAGACCTTTAGCTTCCTCCTCATACACCTCTCTAGTGCTGGGATTAAAGGTGTGAGCTCTGTTACTCTTTTAGACTGATTCACTCTTATGTAGCCCTAGGTGGCCTTGAACTCACAGAGATCCAATGGCCTGTCTCCTGAGTCCTGGTATTAAAGGTGAGTACCACCAATGCCCAGCTTCTATGGCTAACTAGTATGGGTGGCTTTGCATTTGGATCCCAGGCAACCTCCATTAAATTGCAAAAAAATATATCACCACAGCCTCCTATATAAACATAGTCAAGATCATCTTTAAACTCAGTGCCCCCAGTTTATCTCACCTTGAGGCTAACTTATACTAAACAATTTAACAATCTGGTTTTAGCTTGGGAAACTAATTGTTTCACAGAATATTCTAAAAGCCAGCAATTTTCTGCAAACACATGGCTGTAATTTCCCTTATAAGGACAAAAAGAATGACTCCTGCAAATCTCTAGCAATTTAAAATCCACAAAAACATTTTCTCCACTTAGGATTGTAACATCAATTCATGAGCTGCCTATGTGTGCAAATTTACCCCATGAAGCAATTTGGCACTTGAGAAGTTTCTAGTGTGAGTATAATCAAAGTATACAAGTATTTCATGAAGAGAAGTTATGGCCAAATTAGGACTAACTTTTAGCTTTTACATTTGAACAGAACAAATTAAGGGCATCAAAGGATTAGATACATGAAATCATCTCTCAAGTGTGAGAAGAAAAATCCCCATTCCCAAAATATTCCTCTGTTCCAGAACAGATACTTTCTGTACCAGATAGTCTCATAGCCAAGTCTTGATTTAATTGCCCAAAATAGTGAGAACTCATTGGCTACGCATGCAAAGTTTAGTCTTACTAATTTGGTATACTACATCAACTTCAATAAAAGCAGTAAGAGAATTAACATTTATAGACATTTTACAAACACCAAGAAAAAAGGACTAGTCACGTTTATCCACAAAGTTGGAAATAACAAAGATGTTTTTATAAATCCCCAAAGAGCTGTACCTATGACTGCACAACTGAATGTAAAGAAAACTCTAGATGAAGAGTGTCTGTAACTGTTGTCCCTGATAGAGAATTCCAGGTCCTATCTGAGAACTTACACTGGTAAACATGGTCAAAAAAGCAATTGTGACAAATATACATGGGCCATCAAAAGATGCAATTCAAGTGCCAACAAGTAGCATTTAGGGATAGCCCAGAAATAGCCACAATGCATTTCCTAACCTTATATGATTTGCATGCTGGTATAACATTTTAACATTAAAGCACATAGTGCAATCAATTTTGTGTATTTTAGAATGCTCACAGAATGGCTTAAAGATTGCTTTGAAGTGGCACTCGTTCAAATTGTGTCTAAGATCTCAAAACTTGAAGTAATTTTACTTGATCCAACACCCCAAGGATGAACTCATGAAAGAACATGATCATGTAATTTAACAGCAGCTGACTTGGTAGAGACTAAATCTTCTTCACCAATTGATTTTTAGAATGGGTATGTTTGTCTAAAATCTTCGTATTTGTTTAAAACCTACAGACCACGCATTTAAATTCTCCCATAGATTATAAATCAAAGGAAATTGAAGGCAGCTATATAAACAGATCTCTGCCTGCATCTGCTGTATAGACACAGTGGTCTCTAATGTGGGGCATTTACCCTGTTCACCTCTCAGCTGCCACCTTTGAATAAACATGTCTTAAAGCACCATCAATCTAAGCAATGTGGGGCATTTTTCTCTCAAGAACAAAGACGTTTTCAATTTTGGATTAGATGTACAACTGTAAAACCAAGCAGAAAAGGGAATCGTTGATATAGGTTTATGTTAAATGTTGAACATGATACTACCAAACTTTTCCAAGGAGAAGACGCCTTTAAGAACTTGGAATAGTCATTTTAACTGTTTTCTTTTCTGCTCTTATTACTCTGTATCATGAAACTCGCCCAATAACTTTTCTGCCTAATACTTGGAGAAGGTGGAGGAAGAAATTAGTTTCATTGTGAGTTAAAGAAAATCCAGTTATTACCAAAGGAGTATATTTAGTCTATACAACTACTTTAAGGGCAAGCAAATGTAGAAAGGACAAAAATAAGAAAAAACTCATTAGTGTAAAGTGTTGGTTCTTTCAGAATCTGATGATCAAGATTGCCATGTTGGATTAAAGATAGCTAAAGATTAGAATAAGAATTTAAAGGTATGGAAAAAAAAGCATGTTTATTGTTATGAATACTTTTAGACTAGGGTCAATATGTAAAACAAGTACTGTCAAAAGGAAACTCTTAGGAGAATCAATACTTAAAAAACAAAGGAAGGGACCAAGGTGACCAGGACCAGGACCACATTTCTTGAGACTATGGAAAATTCCAGATACAATTGTACCAGGGCTCCCTCACTCCTCACCCTCACTTCCTGGTGGCACTGTCTACCATAATGGATGTTTGTTGAGGGAAAATAGGGTGGGGAAACAGATTATAAATGCTTGCAATTGAAGAAAAGCTGCTGTGTGCCAGTACATTGGAAAACTGTTTCATAACAGTCTATGTGAAAGTGTTAACCACTGATATGTTGCCAAGGTCACAGAGTCCAGGGTGAGGCCACACATGAGTGCCACATGAGTATTTGTGAAGGCAATGTGTGGGGAGGGCTACTTCTCTCACTGAGAATCAGGAAAAGAAAATCCAGAGTAGGCTGTTTTGTTTTTTTTCTTTTACACTTCATTTCATGATCCTTTTCATGGGCTACTAAAATGCTAGCGGTGCCCTGCTTCTGAACGTATGTGATCCCTCCTAGGTGGAACCTGGAAGCACTGTCTTTAGGTGAAATTTGAGAACCACATTACCATTTCCAAATTCAATTTCAATAACTACATTATCACAAGGTTCCCAGGGATTGCCAAAGACAACAAATGTGAACGGTTTACCTTGAGTGGCACATTTCTGTCACCCCGTTCAGAGGGCTACACGATGGTGGGCTCCTGCCACCATTCTATTCCCATTAGTTCCTCCCATGTAGCCTCCACCGTTACTGCTGTTCCTCATCGTGCCATTTTACAAGAATGGAAATGCACCAAGGAATTTTCCTTGAAGTGAGACTCCAGCTATAAAACAAGTGAACCAATTTCCTGAGACCCGAATAAAGAACATTTCTTTCTCACTGATTAGAGAAATTCAATTTCAATGTCTGTTTTTCTGTTTGTTTTGTTTTGTTTTTGTTTTTCAAGACTCGGCACTCTTTATTAGCATCATTCTGAAATATAGTTTTTGAACTTAGGAAATAACAACAACCAAAGTAAGATGCCATGTTTTCTCAAGTAGCATGTGCACTGATTTCTTGGTAGGAAGCCCACACACAACATGGCGAAGACTCTACTTCTCCCAAGTTTCCTACTCAAACATTTAAAGGGCATTGGCCTGAAGTCTCATTAAAACTGAAATGGACCGTTACTTCAGACAGAGAGAGCCTGCCTTGGGATTGATGTAAACTCAGTGCAAAGTCTAGAGCCAAAAAGAATGATCCAGTTGCAAATTTTCCCCCTTTAAGAAACTAAAAATAATTTTTAGTCTCAACATGATGACATTACTTTTTCTTTTTTAGCCCTTCAAGCTTTAGTTTTATTAAAGAGAAAGATTTTTGTTTTAAGCACGAGTCACATTGCTATATTTTCCTTTTACTAAATTAGCTATAATACATCAAGAAAAATTGATTTGTTCTTATAATCACTAAAAATAAACCTTTTCGAGATCATTGGGCTGACGTCAGTGTTCACGTCATCTTGCTTTGCAAGACTAATGGTCCCACTTTTCAGATGAACAAACCAAGGCTTAGAACAGAAAACCAACATACTGAGTTTCGCACTTAAGAGATAGTATACTTACAACTATCAACAGAATGAGCCCAAGTATCCACACCTTCAATTAGAGATTTACCTAATCATTTTGACCTGTAACAAACTATCTCTAGTAATTTATCTACTCAAAATTTGGCCAAAATATAAAACTGAGATTATCTAGGATATTTACTCCTCTACCTCTGATTAAACCCCTGTGAGCATTTCATGGTCTACTTGAAAACAAATGTCTTCTTTTCCCAGTGATATAAATTCTGCTTCGCTGGGTTGTAGAATTTGCTGAAATACGACTTGTGACTAAAGATTACATTTCTTTATACTCTGCTTCCAGGGTGGTTCCTGTTAAATAATTGATAAATCCTTATGTTCAGTAAATGCTTGTTAAAAGAATACACACGCAAATAAAACATTTCAAC